TATATATATCTTTGTTTCAATGGATACAAACTTCTCAATAACAGACGTATATATAACACCATTAATGAGCCCCAGTCCAAGTTATCATGTTAAGTAATTCAATCAATACTACTGACCTAGTGTATACTACATAAAAGTAAAATATTCTATGACATCTGGCAGATATTGGGTGTATTAAACATAAGAAAATGATGTTTATGGAAGTAGATAGTGGATATACTTTGTATGTATATCTTTACAGTGATTTCTTACCATTTTGAATTGTGATAGTCCATGCAAAATTAAAAACTTTCGCCATTGGCTAAACACTGATTTACTGATGTTCTCATAACGAGTAGGGTACCACTTATCATAAACTTAAAAGAACAAGCAACATGTTTCCTCTGTCCCCTTTTCACAAATACTGAATGGTTATTGTCTACAAACTAGACTCGTTTACCACGAACCGTGATTATTGACCATATGATTTCCATTAATATTTGTCACGTTATTTATGAGAATTTTGCGCATTCTTATCTTTAATTAAAATATTTTTTACTCCTTCATCAGATAACAAGAGGCCCAAGGGGCCTTAACGGTCACCTGAAGAATATATGTCAATAATCTGGGGATTTTAAAATGTTGCAAAAATGTCACAACACGTGTGCAGGACCATGTGTAAAACATCTGTACCAAGTTTGAACATGACCCACCCAATGGTTCTTGAGAGGAAGTCCATAATATCTTAGCCAAACAGAGGCCAGGGTGGCCATTTTGGATTTTGAATCGCCCCAAAAAAGTTAAAACACTTGCCAGGACCTTGTGTAGAACATTCGTATCAAGTTTCCCCTTTTCCCCCTCCTGCGGCCCCTATTGAGGCCACACCCTTTTTCTTCCCTTGCGGATGCTTTGTGCCAAGTTTGGTCAAAATCCATCCAATGGTTCTTGAGAAGAAGTCATTTAATGAAGGTTTTTACATATGGCCCCTTTAACCCCCCTTATGGGCTCCAAAGGGGACATAATCACTTTTTCAACATAATTTCATATGCAATCGGTCAAAGTTGAATTTTTGACCATTTTGAGCGCCCCCTAGTGGGGCCGTTTTTGACCCGATTTTTTTTCATTCGCAAACTTTGTAGACCTTGCCATAAGGACCCTAAATATCAAATATGAACTTAATCTGACTGTTGGTTCATGAGAAGAAGATTTTTAAAGATTTACCCAATTTTACCCCCCTTTTCCCCCTCCTGCGGCCCCTATTTGGGCCACACCCTTTTTCTTCCCAAACTTGAAGCGGTTTTCCATGGGGATGCTTTGTGCCGAGTTTGGTGAAAATCCATTCAGTGGTTCTTGAGAAGAAGTCGAATATGTGAAAAGTTAATGACGCCTGGTGCACGACGCAAGACGACATACAAATCAAGATGGCGACCTAAAAATGTAGTAGCCAAGCTGCCAAACTTGTTGGATCATTGAATATGATAAACTTTACAAAACAAAACTAAAATAGTTCAGAAAAAAGAGTTTTTATTCTACGAATCAGTAAAAGAATGAAAACAATGAAAAAAAAACCTAATACATATTTTATATGTCAGTAAAATTTCCTTTCAGCATGAACAATGCCTTAATAAACTAAATGATATCCTTACCACATACAACAAGGCGTTAGAGACATGGTCAGAACTAACTTGATGCCAATATTTACACAAAATGTATTGCATATATGAAGCGCATATGCACAGGAATCAAGACTATTTCTCCTCATGTTTATTATGACAAAACAAAGAATCACAGTCTTTATACGTGAAAAAATTGATTGTAGTACAGCATAAGTGATGATCTCAAAGATAAAATGCCAAACTAGAATGAACATAAGCATTGCTTCATGGAATAATTATCAGTAGTGTCAAAACTGGATAAAAGTATCTGAGGGACCATTTGGATCCTCATTCATCTTGTTGTCCATGCATCTTTGGACGGACAGAAAACATTTTTTTGTTTTTTTGCATACAGTGCTAAAACCATATTAACACATATTTTAGTGCAAATTTGGCAAAGTTAGGTTTAGATTTATTAATTAAATTAAGATACTGGCGTGTTGTAATACACGTACCATGTTAAAATTGTATAAATATCTATTTTATAAACACTAAAGTCTGCCAATATAATATTGCTTTATGGAACCTTTTCTGCTCCATTTCAGAAATCTCGTCTTTAAGTACAGTTTGAAATTAATCCATTTAGCCCTGTACATACTGTCATATACCAGTCCTATAAACATTATCATTCATTCAATACTTCAAATAATCAAGAGGGTTAATTTTCTAATCTATTTTCGAAATGTTAATCTTACAACAAAACAGAATTTCAAAGTTTTATAGTACAAGTTTCAAATTAACTCACAACAGCGATCATTATGCAAATTGATTGCATTTGATAGAGAGTCCATGACCAAATATTTGCAAATTCTAACGTACAAATTTTATAAATGAAGGAATCGATAGATATATGATATATACTCATGCTCATTTAATAGGAATGTCTTCAAAAAATGTCTCTTAAATATTTGATTTTTGTCTAGGTGCTTCAAATACTAACAACAACATCACGTGGATTTGGATAAAATGATACGATACTTGAATTACATCAACATCGACTATTCTCTAACAATAAATAAGTATCAATCAAATTGGTTTTATGAACCTAGAATTATCTCGGGCAAGATGTGAAAAGGGTTTGAATAGCTTATATAGACTTTCTTTATCTTTATCAAATAATTCTAACAAGAACATATTCATTACATGTGAAACAGTAATCAATAAAAGGAATTTCCATCAATAAGCAAGCTCAATCAACAACCAAGCCCTGAAAGTTTAACGAGGACGATACAGATTCCGGGTTCAGTTATATTCAATCTAAATTGATAAGGAAAGGTGTTATTTACTTGGCCTTTAAAATATAAACATAATTCATAAAATTCATCAGCTATATTAAGATGTTAATCAAACAATTGCTATTCACAGTTTGGATAAATAAAATGGATTCCTAGTTAAAAAATTTACAAATGCATATTGTATATATATATATATATATATATATAGAAAAAACTTGATTTGACGAGATGCGAGTAAATTATAAATAAAAATGATTTTTGACAAAACTCTTTTTTATTTATATATATATATATATATAATAGTGTTAATCAACACCATGTCATAAGATATGTATACATTATATATGGCATAAAAATTGAGCAAAATAAAGAGTATCACGTGTGTGTATATAGAATATTAATCACATTCAATTTCGTAACTTAAAAAGATTATGTATATCAGATATGTATAAATAGAAATAAATCACATAAAATAAATACAATTGATAAAGTCAGGAGTACCTGCCTCACAGATACCTTCAAATTTATTCAAATTTTACCGTCAATAAAAATCAGTCCAAGAATTTCTGATACAGAGATATGTCGTTATGTCTGGAGAATTGGAAACGTACATGAAATGATATTTGTCTTCGTAATGTGTAGTTGGTATTATTCGCAGTCATCAAAGATAAGGTGAAATTTATTACCAAGCAAAATATTTAAAATCGAGCAAAAATGCCTATATATCAATAAATAGACATGTATTAACTTTCGTCCACATAAACTATCACAAACTTGGACAATCATAAAATATTTGCCTCAATAAATTAAGTGTCTATCATTACATTCAAAATTTGACAAAATGCAATTCTTTGATTGAAAGCCAATCTCAGGCAGTTGGAGGTAGTGTCATGCATGTTTGGAAAATTCAGATGCTTTCTATGATAAATCACAGTCAGTTTATCACATCCAACTTTGGCCTGAATGGTTTCCTCCTACTTTTGTACCATCAAGTACAAATTATAACAATTATACATCAAATAAGATAGATTACAGAAGTGTTGTGGTAACAATAGTAAAGTCAACCCAAAAATGGCTTAGATCATGGCCATCAGTAGAAATTATATCAAAATTAGGCTTATGGTATTTATAAATTATATGTTACGTAATTTTCAGGAGATACATGTTAAGGAGGCACTTTGTTACATTGGCCAAAACAGATATCATTTTCTGTCATCAAAACAGATTATATATACTACAAATACGCTAGTCTCTCAAAATTTTTTTTAAAAAATTTGGTGTAAAATAGCCTTCTTTCATAGAATTTGGTTGAATACTTCCCTATATCATAAACAAGAGAAGGGGAATTCTATAGGGATCAAGTTGAATACATCTATCTAATCAATGAACAACTTACCCGAGATTGTTGCGATTGATATCTGTCTTTGAAAAAATACAATGTACAAATACATGCAATTGAAATGCAAAATCTCCTATGTGAGGAACATAGTATGCATTTTACAGCAGTCACAACTTTCCACTTTAATTATCTACGTGTTACTAGATATGATGAACTGTTGGTGCCCACTCAGATACCCTTAACAAAAACTGTAATATACTTCTACACACATATTCTCTGTGAACCACATTTTTTATTTATTTACTCATCAATGACTCAAATATAATGTAAACATAACAAAGAAAATAACTTAGTATACAACTCCTTAAATGTGTAAAAAGGTGGGGACGGATTCTCTTTATCAACAATTACAGACAAAATATATAAAAATAGATATCATTTTCATGTCAGACAAATTGTCCCAATCACTTTAATCATTCTTTCCAATCACGGTAATTATAAATCTTTAAATGTCTACTTCATATTTTTCTTGTTTAATTTACACCAAATCCTTTTTAAACAGTACAATAATTGTATATTAAAAGTATATATCAGTAATTATTGATTGTTGTATATAGATGTTGTACATTGCCACTTCCTTATTCATTGTCTACAAAGTCAAAATGATATAACTGCAATTTAAAAAATCAAGTTTCTTAAAAAATCTGGTCATGATGTATAAAACTGTCGAACTATCGAAAAGTTTAGATATAATTTGTGTATCTTTGTTGATTGTTGACAAATGAATTCATGATGACACAGCTGAAAACAACAACAGCCTTGGTGTGCCCCTATATAGAATATGCCAGTTCAGTATGGTCACCTCATAAAAAGAAAGATATGGCAGCACTGGAGAATGTTCAAAGAAGAGCGACAAGGATGTTACCGCAGATGAAGAATATTGAATATGAACAACGACTGAATCTTCTCAAGTTGCCAACTTTAAAATTTAGAAGAATGAGAGGGGACATGATTGAAGTATTCAAAATACTAAAAGGAATATATGACCCAACAGTTACCACACAACTACTGGAACTAAACAACACCAGCACTACAAGGGGGAACTCCTTAAAGTTAGCCAAAAAGCAGTGCACTAAAGATATAAAGAAATACAGTTTTTCATACAGAATAGTGGACACATGGAATAGCCTACCTGAACAAGTTATCACTGCCGCTACAATCAACCAGTTCAAAAACAGACTAGATAAATATTAGGAACATCACCCGCTTAGATTTGACTACACAGCTAACTATGGACCCTAGAGAGACACCGGAATGACAACAAACTCACAAAATGACATCTCTGAGCTGCCTATAGAGGACCAATAGGTCCTGCGGGCAGAATCTACATAAGGTAACATAAGGTAAGGTAAAACACAAAATTATTTCCATCCAACATTTTGGCATGTCACTTCTTAAGGTGAATCATCAGGGTGAGTGTTTTTTAACCAATCACAAAGTTATTACAATTAAGTGTGTATCAGCATCCCTTCTGAGAAATAGTACTGATATCAATTTGTGCAAAAATAGTAAGATTTAATAATCTTATTTTTTATTTGTAATTATAAAGTTGAAATCTGCCATTACAAATAAAATGTAACAGCAAGTTTAGGGACGATATTCATAAACTGAATTAAGAGAAGGCCAGTCAGCATAGTACATACAAGCTAAGAAACACCTTCACAAGAACAGGCAGCAGTATTCACAAATATTTCCACACAAATTTTGATTTCACATCACACTGCATGCTTGACTGGTTTGCCTCTTCAACTTTGCTGACTTGGAACCACCCGTTTCTCTCATGCGGAACAATTTTGATTTTGGTGGCTCCTTTGTCTCTTTCCGACTGGTGGCTTGACTCTGTGTCTGCTCAGTTTCTTGTTGGCCCAAAACGGCTGTGGAGATCAAAATTATTGTATGTTAGGTCAGCAGCATAGCATATGAGGTTTCTAGAAAAAGATTTTTAAACAATAGTAAAATTGCGAAACATGTCAAAGATCGTTTCCATTGAAGTGAATTTTTGGCCATTTTATATCAATGAAAATTTCATGACGGATTCAACAGAATACAAATAGCAACTAGGGTAAATGTTTCTTTCTTCTAATTCAAAACTATATTGTTAAGTTATTAGAAAACATTTAAGAAATATTATGGTCGAAATCAAGAGGAGTCTTAAAATCTGAAGGCTTCTTTTTTGAAACAGGAACTTGAATGTAGGAACTGTGCTGATCAAGGGGATGGTTCCAAATTAGCTCTACACGATGTAATAAATGATAATTGGCTAGATAAGTAAATGAGATGAACCAGGAAACTGACAGTTTTCTCACGTTCTGGTCTACTGAACAATGGATTTAAAAGAAGTAACAAAAAGACCAGTTTACTGTAGATATTGTTAAGGAAAGCGGTCAGAAAGGAAATCTACTGTAAATCATTTAATTTTCTGAATTCTTAATTTCGCGAACTTACCTGTTCAGGCATATATTCCTGAATAAATAATTTCGTGAATGCTGATCAAGAAATGACTTTAAATTCATAAATGATGAACTATAAGAGACCAGGTCTATTCAAGACTATGCATTCAAAGCAACATGGATTCCATCCAGAGTTATTTTTGTACAAATAATCACAAAGGGTTTGAATTCACGACTGCACTCTTCTCAAGTATTAAAGCGAAAATATAGAAAATATCAATAAAAGATATATCAGACAGGAACAAGAGAATTAACTCACCTTTGCCTGGATCTTCATGTAACATCAGAAGATATATCAGACCAGAACAAGAGAATTAACTCACCTTTGCCTGGATCTTCATGTAACATTAGAAGATATATCAGACCAGAACAAGAGAATTAACTCACCTTTGCCTGGATCTTCATGTAACATCAGAAGATATATCAAACCAGAACAAGAGAATTAACTCACCTTTGCCTGGATCTTCATGTAACATTAGAAGATATATCAGACCAGAACAAGAGAATTAACTCACTTTTGCCTAGATCTTCAAGTAACATCAGAAGATATATCAGACCAGAACAAGAGAATTAACTCATCTTTGCCTGGATCTTCATGTGGCATCAGAAGATATATCAGACCAGAACAAGAGAATTTACTTACCTTAGCCTGGATCTTCATGAGGCATCAGAAGATATATCAGACCAGAACAAGAGAATTAACTTACCTTTGCCTGGATCTTCATGTGGCATCAGCAGATATATCAGACCAGAACAAGAGAATTAACTTACCTTTGCCTGGATCTTCATGTGGCATCAGAAGTTGTTGGTATAACTTCTCTGTCTTGCTGCCACTTTGGCCACGATGTTTGTCACAAAGCCACAAGGTCTTTCCATTCAGCATGTGGCATCTTTAAACAAATAGAATAGAACATTACAATAAATCTGTCATATCTGGCAGTGAGACATTCCATTCTGTATACCTTTTGTCTGAATGGCATCTGCACCTTAATTACAGTTTTATGCTCAATATTGTACCACATATTTATGATATACACCTTAACAAACGCTTTTCATAATGAAATGTGCAAAACAGAAAAAAAGCTTTATCAATTGCATGGAATCAGAGCTATTTTCAAAAACCATTTTTAGAAATATTTTGACTTGGAATGACATGTTTTTAAAATCATAAAATGATAAATAAAAGTTTTTGAATCTGATGAAGAAAACTTTTTTTCTAATCCAGATACATTAAATTTCAGACAGCAGTCTGTCCTTGTCTTGTTGGTTGAGAAAGAAAACTCCAGTTATCACCTGCATGATCAGGGATTTTTACCGACATCATACAAATTATACAAGTTAAAAGCACAGATTTTGCATGCATTAATTGAGTTACAGGGAAGAGAACTAAACTACCTCAAGTTGATATCTTAGATTCCATAACTGTTTAAAACATGCTTGTAACATGTGGAGTTTACCGGTAATGGTGTACTCCCACACTAACCTTTTCAAGCCTCCTGCTGTCTTTGCCTTATCAATGTCCATCACACTCGCCCTAATCTCTGTGTATTCTTCCTGGAATTCATTCTTATTCAGATCTGTGGCAATCTACAATCAAATAGAAGTTTGATTTTACATAATTCAAATTATTTGCCAATGTGTATCCTAAATAATGTTGATTAATTATGCAAAAGTTCTAGGAAATAAGATCTTAGAATTACTAGTAACTAGGTGTTCAGAGAAGAACAGTCTTGTATAAAAAGGACAATAACCATGTAAAAAGTTTATTTAAGGAAGTTTGATTAATCCTGAAGACAGGATTGCAGGAATGGATGTATAATATACTAACAGACAAGTCTGATTAAAAAAAGAACCCCACTCTCTCCCCACAAACTTGGTTGTAATCATGTATAACATTCATATTTGTCTTGTCACACACAGCTCAAAACAGAAATTCTGGCTCAATGTTAGAGGGTTGGCTTTTTATTGGACAATACAGCAGCAGAGTAACAAATTTTTCTGCCTACCGTCTGTAGTTTTGTTTGTAGTGTTTGACCTTCAGGAGTGTTCAGACTAGCCATATTAAGGCTCGAGTATTTGAGGATGGCAAACATTCGTGCCATGTAGGGAGCCATAGAATTCAGCCATTGTTCCTCTTCCTCCTTGCCCTCATGTTCTGGTGATGGGATAGTTGAGTCCACTGTATGCCAACCCTGTCATGCGGAACGAAATTAATATGATTTAAAACTCAAACCCATCAAAAACCTATTTCAAGTTCTCTATCACCTGAATAATATTTCATCAATCTTTTCAGAGCAGAAAAACTAAAAATGGCTGAAACATGCTGTGGGGTTTTTAGTATAATTCCTTTTTGCTTGTGCTAAAATTCAGAAAAATGGGTGAAATCATTATCATAATCAATTTCAAGAATTCTGTGAAAGTACATCAAAATGATTTACTTCATAGGTTCTGTAGGTAAATCACTTAGTTTGTTCCAAAAGATAAATCTCTTGTGAAATGTAAGTGATTAAAAGTAGTCAATATTAAAAGCATTGCCATTTTGTTGACATGTTAAATAATTTCTGAACAGCAATATTATTGGACATAACGATGAAAATCTGTAAAGTTAGTTTAGCGATAATGTAATGATATTAAGATAGAATTTACAGCAGATACAGCTATCAAAAATTGAATACCTACCTCCTCATGTTCACAAAGAAGTCTATAGCAATATTTTGATTTCCATTTTGTACTTTCGTCCTCCTCTTCTTCCTCATCCTCCTCTTCTTTTTTCTAAAATGGAAGACAGATAAAAATTTTCCACCTGATCACATACCTGGTAATTAATTGATATTGACAAACAAATTTTCATTGATTTCTTACTAACCCAAAAACACTGCATTTCTTTCGGAAGTAAAACTTGACCAAGAGGCCCATGGGGTCTGTATTGCTGACCTGGATATGTCAGCTTTCACTTCCAAAAATTGCATTCACTATCATATCACTGTATTTTACCAAAATTTTGAGAAATTTCCAAGCCTGAGCTAAATTTTGACAAAAAAACTTTCATTCTGACAGAAAAAACAAGAGTATGCATGCATGATTCCGTTTTGTTTCTACAGTGCAGCATACGACTGCCAATATGTGTCACCGATAATCTGTTGGAATATTTCCACCAATTAAAAAGCTAGAATTGGTCGTTACAGTTAGTTCCAAAGGCTGTGACAATAGGCTAAAACCATACTGTGTTACATTTTGCTTAAAATGGTTTTAAATGGTGGTTGCCCATCCCTAATGATGCCTTAGATCAAAGTTGGTTGAGATATGCTCAGGAGTTAAGAAAGAGCAGTGTTTGACACCAACATTTCGTTAGGCCCCATTCACGGCCCTGCCCCAAGTCCCCAGAATTTAATAGAGTTTCTAAATATAAGAAATGGTTGCCCACCTCTAATGTTGTTATTTGAAAAAAATATAACACACAAAAAACATCGCATAAGATCACCTGTTATTCAGATATGGTGAACTAAAAATCAAGTCCCCAGAACAAAGCTTATAAGAAAACCTCTAATGTTGTTATTTGAAAAAAAAATAACACAAAAAATATCGTATATGGTGAACTAAAAATCAAAACAAAACTTTCAAATTCACTTAAATAACAAACAAATATGATTCTTACAAAATATTGGTACGTACAACATATTTGACCTTTATCATCATTTCCCTGCTTTTTCAATAGATATCAATTTAAAACTACAGTTGCCTGGAAGATCAGCCAAAATTAGTAAAAACTGCTTCACACGTAGAATATACATTTATATATTGGACAAGTCTACAATATAACAAACCTCAGCTTCAGATTTTTCCTTTCCATCTTTCAGATTCTTCGCAGCCTCTTTCACTTTAGCCAAGTTGGCGTGTTTTTCCTTATCTCTAGCCTCAGCTTCCTTCCTCTGTTCATCTGTCAACACTTCTTCCACTTTTTTCTCTTCCTCTGGTGGTGCTTCTTCCTCTACTAAGTCCAGAACAATAAGACGTGGGTAATGGCCGCTGAACATGGCATCAGCGTAGCCTACTAGATGTCTCAGGAACTGACGCTGCGATAACTCCAGTACTTCCTGTGGTTAAGAAATACAACAAAAAATTTTGAACCCATTCCTGTTGGTTTTTTCTTTGATAAATGATGAATAAGGTTGGGTTCTCTCCTCTTGAACCATTTATGTGTCAGCTTGTATGAATATATATACATTTTTATTTAACCCTTTCGGCGCCATAGGCGACTAAAGTTGACATGCAGACAGGCTGCCATAGGCGACCAAATTCGACATGCAGACAGGCTGCCATAGGCGACCAAATTCGACATGCAGACAGGCTGCCATAGGTGACTTTTGTCGACAATTTTTATATCTTTATTACTAGCCAAGATATGCTTGTTTCAGTAATGCTGCCATTGTTTTCGGATATTTTCCGGAAAATATTTGGTGCTGAGATGTACATTGTAAGAGATATTTGGCGCTGAGCTGTACATTGTAAGAGATATTTGGAGCTGAGATGTACATTGTCAGAGATAATTGGCGCTGAGCTGTACATTGTAAGAGATAATTGGCGCTGAGCTGTACATTGTAAGAGATATTTGGCGCTGAGCTGTACATTGTAAGAGATATTTGGCGCTGAGCTGTACATTGTAAGAGATATTTGGCGCTGAGCTGTACATTGTAAGAGATAATTGGCGCTGAGATGTACATTGTAAGAGATAATTGGCACTGAGATGTACATTGTAAGAGATAATTGGCGCTGAGCTGTACATTGTAAGAGATAATTGGCGCTGAGCTGTACATTGTAAGAGATATTTGGCGCTGAGCTGTACATTGTCAGAGATATTTGGCGCTGAGCTGTACATTGTAAGAGATAATTGGCGCTGAGCTATACATTGTAAGAGATATTTGGCGCTGAGCTGTACATTGTCAGAGATATTTGGCGCTGAGCTGTACATTGTAAGAGATAATTGGCGCTGAGCTGTACATTGTAAGAGATATTTGGCACTGAGATGTACATTGTAAGAGATATTTGGCACTGAGATGTACATTGTAAGAGATAATTGGCACTGAGCTGTACATTGTAAGAGATAATTGGCGCTGAGCTGTACATTGTAAGAGATAATTGGCGCTGAGCTGTACATTGTAAGAGATAACTGGCGCTGAGCTGTACATTGTAAGAGATATTTGGCACTGAGATGTACATTGTAAGAGATAATTGGCGCTGAGCTGTACATTGTAAGAGATTACTGGTGCTGAGCTGTTCATTGTAAGAGATAATTGGCGCTGAGCTGTACATTGTAAGAGATATTTGGTGCTGAGCTGTACATTGTAAGAGATATTTGGTGCTGAGATGTACATTGTAAGAGATAATTGGCGCTGAGCTGTACATTGTAAGAGATAATTGGCGCTGAGCTGTACATTGTAAGAGATAATTGGCGCTGAGCTGTACATTGTAAGAGATAATTGGCGCTGAGCTGTACATTGTAAAAGATAATTGGCGCCGAAAGGGTTAAATAAAATAAAGCCCACATTGGGGACAACACATCACTTCAAAGTCAGAGGATTGGCTTATCACAGCTTAGTACACAGTATCTTGGTCAGACCTTGGGTGATATTTTGTTCATTAGATTACCCCTATTTGAAAACTTTTTATTGAAATTCAAAACAATGAGCTGGAGATTACTATCGGGAAAGTTTAGTATCATTCTATGTATACACACCAAAAGCTAATTTTACAGAAAATGAAATTTCCTAAGAGGCAACACAGGTTCATGTTGCAAAGCTGTTGATGGTTGAACATAACTGGTAGTGTACAATGTGTTAAAACACATTTTTACTCGTACCTGGAATGCAACTTTCTGTATATCTTCTCCTTTCTTCGCCTCATCTTGATTTGTATTGACCTTGACCCTTGATTTGACCTCATTTAACAGCTGATCATATGCGCTATTGTTTTCATTCTGAAAGTTCAATTTTACACTCTGGTGTCCAACGGCAAGCATACCAATCTGATAAAACAAAAAGAAAAAAGTAAAAAAATGAATAGATAAAAAAAATGAAAAATACCAATTTTAATGAAATTATTCATAAAGTAGAGGTTTTATTGGTCTTTCAATTCAATACACATACGTGGTACATGGTATAATACAAATTTCACCCCTGCTTCTATGTAACATTTATTCAATGACATCTAACGTTAACCAACAAAGACATTTTCAATGACCTCTGATCATCCTTAACTCCATAAGCACAATCTCTGCATCTCCACTAACTCAGAGTTAACTCAATGACAGATCTTCAATAACACTGAGGTGATTCAATGAACTCTGACCTGACCTTTACCAACAAAAACAATTTATTCAAAGACCTCCAGCTCATAGTTAATGTAGTGACCTTTGACCTTCACTAACTCACAAGTAATTTGTTGACAGACTTCCACTACTACAGACTGAAGTTATTCAATGACCTCTGACCCTCAATGATTTTGTCTTCATTGTCATAGAAATTAAAACAATTTATTCAAAGACCTTTAACCTTCAATGACATAAATTTAATGTACTGTGACCCTCACTAATTAAACTTTCATTATCACAGAGTCATCAATGGCCTTTAACCTTCAATGACATAAATTAATATCTATGAACTCTGACCTGAACTGACATACAATGTATTTCATAACATTCAGTACAATGTATTTCATCACTGACCTCTGACCTCTCCCATTGATAACCTGTGCCAACCACTGCAAGTATGATGGGCAAACGGAGCTGGCAGAGAGCAAAACGGAACTCCATCTGGCAGTTGGTGGAATTGGCATACTGAAAATTAATGTCAATATATATTAAACTCTGTAGAAAAAAAAAGGAAAAAAATATAAATTATGTGTACAACCGTTCCACTCCCATACAAATCAGAATGTGACCAGGTGTAGAACTTTTTGATATTACAGGGTAATTCTGAACCAAATCTGTTGAGAGGTTTTGAAAATATGACATCACATTGTGAAAGGGTGTGACACAACAGACATATGGATAACACTTTAGTCCCCTCCATACACATAAAATGGCCTGGGTACGAAAATCTATCAATATTATAACTCTTTTATGCCTAAAATATGTATAATAAATTACTATCAAGTATCTATGCTTCTTAATATTTCTCGGTTAAATCATAATCAATTGGGTTATTAAGTATCAGATAGAGAAAATTGAAATTTGTATCAATTTTTATAATAGTGACCATGACCTTTGATTCAGAAAACAGAAACTTAATCTTGAAGATAAGCCCTTGTAATGTCCATATCAAAATAATTAATTTTAAGTATAAAACAATGATAATGATGTCTGATTGTATGATTCATGTAATGATGCCTTGTTAAACTTAAGGCTTAAATATTGTACTTATGATATTACTGGAATGAAAACAAGGTGCAATATCACTTTTAAGTCATGTGATAGTGGTGTGTAGTTTTTACTTACCTCGTCTGACACACAGGCCACAACAACTTGAGCTTTCCTCAAACCACCAGCAATATCCTCGAACAAGCCACCCTGTCAAATAAATAAAAAAAATGTCACAAGTCAAATTCATATTGACTTAACAAATAATACAAGGTAGGTTCCTCTGAGTAAAAGGGGCAGCTGTCTTGCTGAACACAAAGGCATTATATATACTGATAGATGCAATGTTGTACAATGATATAAGTTCAAGCCAGGGCTTTCAATTTGCCAGATTTGGGGCCGATATTCGACCCCATTCCCAATGCAAAATAGTATCTTTTTTCCCAATTTAGACCCCAAGTTTTCCCAATTCTAAGGAAAACACCGTTATTTTTCCCAATTCTAAGGGCCCCGGGCCCCAAGTCCCAAAATGGGGTGTGAGAGCACTGCAAGCTATATGAAAATGTAAAGAGAAAAAAAGAACATGCAGCTTCATTAAATAATCCATTTGTTATAAAAACAATGTCATGTATAATATACAAAGTTTTTTTTATCTTGCTGTCAATTTGAACAATATTAAATAGACTGTGTGTTACTTGTATCAATAATCTATATTCACATTCCAGGTGTGTATTCCCTTACTTACAAAACTGATGTTTTTACTTCAGTTAATGTCAGGTCTGGTTTGTAGTAAGCCAGACCACTGTACACTTGTTGTAAAAATTATCATTTTGTATAAACTAAAAGACTTGAAGCAATTGTAAATATTTAAAATATCTCACAAAAACATACTAAAAAAGACAGTGTTATTTTGGAACTATCATCTGTCTACTTCCTGTAGTTGACAAACTCTCCTTGGAATTAGAATCAGCTGTTTTGCTATTCCATATCAGTTGGACGACTGTTTCGTCAGTGGGTATAACGTCCAATGAACAATAATTATTGGTTTTTGATGAACGTAAGTACCAGTGAATAAAAGTAATGTTTTCAAAATGTAAATAACAGAAATATTTTTTATTTTTGCTTTTTAAAAAAAATTATATAATCATCATTTATTGGATGTTATACTGACCGATGGAACAGAACAAAATACTAACGGAATAGAAAAAATATCTTATTTCAATTTTGCTGGAAAGGTTGTCAGACTTGACATTAACCAAAGATTAAAAATTAATTATGTTGGTAAAGCCAAGTAGAGAATGCATAACGGACATTATCAGAAAATGTTATTACAATGTTTTTTCAGCTAGCTGATTAAAAATTTATATTTTTTCTCACCCCTCCGACACGTTCAATGTCTAGCCAACAGGAAATGCCTTTACTCTCTAGGAAATTTTTTATTTTCCGCGGGTCACCCCAACCAAGTGCACCTTCCTTCTTGCGACTGCCCTTGGCAATTGCATCATGGGAGTTTGACCAACAGTAGCTGACAAAACACCCTGGATTATCCTCAACCTACATAGCAGCAGAACATACAATCATCTGATGAATATACGTAAAGCTGTAGTGATGTTTTCTTCATCTAAAGTTTCGAAATTAAAATCTTGCAAATTTATTATGAAATATTTAATTTGAAACAATTATTAAGTAAATATGATATCATAATGAAAAATAAACTTTAATTTGAATCATAATGTGTTTTCCAAGAATTAACGTCAAATTATTATGGACCTGAAATTCCGTCGATTACAGAAATGAAGATAAATGTGAAGTCTGTTTCTTTTATGCACAAATGAAAATAAAACTCCCACCATTAATGTGACAGCATCATAATTATGTCATGTATTGGGAATTGTAAATATTTCAAGATTTACTGTTGATCTGTGGCACGAGGAAATATATATATATATATGTATGTATGTTTACCACTGTTTTTTTGGAGGCCTTTCGCTGTATGGCTTCTTTCAGCTCGACAAACTTGTTCTTGTAGTGTTTCGGATCTTGCATTTTCACATACACCTGTCAAATTAAAAGTCAGTCATATACATTTCAAACACCCCATGGTTATCTATAACTAAACAAATTTAAATATTTATTTGAATTCTAAATCCTTTAAACATTTATTTAAGTAATAAAATTGTTTCACTCTTTTTTTGGTATTTGTTGTGTTATGTAGATTTGATGAAATTGAATTACCTCGACAGCGATATATATTTAAGCTGTGTAGTCATATTGTAAAGAGTTTTAAGTTATTGATGTGTTCTGCCTGTTCAAATTAAAACAGATGTATTTTTCTAGGCAGCCCTTAAACCAAATATTAATTTCTTTATCTATCTTAATAATGATACAGTATCTTCTATATAGCCAGTCATTTTCAAAAATCTTGCTGTTTTGTGAGGAATTAATGTGGTCTCAAACATATTTTAATCCATGAAAATACCAAACATTTAAATTTCATGTATCATAGAAAGTTCTTAACTTAAAGAAGCTGACACAGCCGTCTCAAATTCTCCAAGGGTATTTCAACAGTTACAATCATTGGGAACAGATTTAATAGCATGAGATGTATATTATATGCAAAAATTGGATATCATATTAAATTCAGATCACAAATATCTATGTGTCAAAACAAAGTTACTCATTTTTGTGGTGGATTATTTTTTGTTGATTTTGATGATAATCTTACTTTTTTGTGAAGATGTTTGTCCACCAATAAGTTGATAAGAATAATTATAAACAAAATATCAAGTCCGAATATTGAAAAAAAAAAAAAAAATAATATTTCAGCCTCCATATAAGTATATGATTTAAAATTGTGGTAGTTCTAATGCTAACACAACTATATCAGATCTCCATAAAATGGAGCACACCAAGATATCAGTTCATAGTGTGATTAAACCAAGTAATTACAGAAAATCATGCTACCTCATCATTCAAGGTGATGTAGATGTTGGATTCTTTCCACTTGAGCCCTTTGCCGAGAGCTACCAGAACGATAGGTTTCCGTAGAGTTTCCTTCACGAAAATAATGATGTTACGACAAGCCTCAGTTTCACAAAGCTCATCAGACATTCCAATCAACACAACCTGTGTAATAAGAGATAGATAAACTGTATGAAACCCATTGTAATGTCTTTTCATCAACATTAATCTTCAGGTACAAGAGCCATACAAGTGGAGAAAATTCTTGGCTGAAGGTATGAGAAGTCCCCATCAAGTACATGGCTAAAGGAAAAGTGTAGACTTCCGTATCTCATGATACAGAGTCTCTAGCTTTCATTATAAAGAGAAAATCTCTCATTCACCACCTTGTGTAAAATCTCCAGCCTTTGAATATAAAGGCAATATTTCTCTTATTCACTGTGTACAGATGCTTGAAAGTGTGACTTGGGTCTTAATTTAATCATTAAATCATTTTATGTTTTGAGGTTTTTTTTTCACTCACTATAGCCTAAATAGGTAGTTTTGTTTGCAGAGAAATATGATATTACACAAACCTTGGCTGTCTTCATGGTGAGGGTCAGTGCGGACATATCATTTTATGTTTTGAGGTTTTTTTTTCACTCACTATAGCCTAAATAGGTAGATTTGTTTGCAGAGAAATATGATATTACACAAACCTTGGCTGTCTTCATGGTGAGGGTCAGTGCGGACATATCTGCTGTCTCTGGATTATCACAGAACGCCCTGAAAAATGCAAACACACCTTCTATTGTACAATAAGATATAATAGTTTGATATTTCTTAGTTTTAAGGTAACATAGGCTTATATCCATCGAATTGTTTACATTTGTCTTGCACTAACAAATAAACAAAGCAGAGTATTGGCAGTAATTTACAACCTTAATTTAAATTTTCATACTGAGAACAAAAAAAGGATCAAACTCTGTATATTGTGGGTCTGTGTGAAAACTACTTACAAAATGTACAACAACAAAAATTGGGATCAAAGGCTGTATTACTTTGGTCACGATTTTGATAAATATAAAAGATACAAAAATTACAATACTTCTTCTCCAATAAAATGAATGGGACAACGTGTAAGCTCTAGCACTTAATAGGCCTCCTAATTACACAGCATCAATACATCACATTTGACAGCACTTGTACTGAAACTGCTGCAGCATTAGATGTAGGTGGGCTTATCAGAAGGCTCTAGTTTACTGCACTTCAGCAATGACATTAGTTTCAAAGATATAAAATTTTATGTTAATGTGTAATATATCAAACTTACACATTGAATCCAGAATTTCTCAAGTCCTCCATGATGGTACCAGGATGGACCATTTTTCCCTCATCTTGCAGTGAAGGGATATTTTTCTTACTGTAAACAAACACCATATTGACCTTGACCCCTTCTCCAAGGTCATGGAGCTCTTGGACACTTCGTCGTAAGTGGTTATCAAGATCAACATTTCTGTCTGGGGGAAGAGCATCTGTTTAAAAAAATAAAAAGATGAAATGAAAAAATCAAGCAGAGTGAATTCAGACACAGCTAGTACAATTATTATTGAATAGAAAATATCTATGCTGAGATAGGTCCAACATACTATGCATGACCATTAACTTACATTATACTGTCAACAAGGTGAAAAGTGTGAGAAAAGTCAGAATTATAGGCATAATGTAGCCTATTACTTTACATAGACCTTGTGAATCTTCCAATTAAAAAGATAAACAGAAAAAGCAAAACCATTCAGTACATGAAGACCTTGGTTGGGTGAAACTATGGTGGGAATTTGCATTGAATCTGTCCAATGGTTCCTAAAAGATCTTGTACACAGTCATAGTTTTCCTTTAAAAACTGGTAAAGTGTGAACTTTGACCTTTAATCCTGACCAATGACTACCGACACCTACCCAACCTTGGTGGATGGTGTGAATTAAGCATGAGAATGGTTTCAGTAATAAAAGTCCCAGGTGTTCTGAAAGAGTAAGCTTCTTCTGCATCATCACAAAACCCACCATACACTGATGTTCTACTTACTCTGGAGTTCTGAGATGGACAAAACATGGAAAAGATTGTCACACTGTAAGAATGGAGCCTTCAGTTCGGCAGCCCTGTGTATCTTGGTAGCAGAAAACATACTTGGCTCACTAAGATGCTGTAAAGACAAAACCATTCATAAAAGTTTTCATTTAAAAGTTCAAGGTCAAATCTATTTTTTTAGTTCCCCTTCATGGATAACACCGGAGGTCATGGAAAACCTTATCAGATTATGAAAGTTTCTCTACTTTTTTTTTAAATGCTTTCCTCTTGACAAAATTTACACTATTTTTTCCCTTTTATTAAAATACTCTTATTGATATTCTAAAATATAAGCCTTATTCAAACAATCAGATTTGAATAGAAATTACATGTAGAATACACAAATGTATGATATTCTCTGATATTTAACATTGAATTTTTTAAAAGTTAGTTTCAATTTGTCTTCAAATAAAGTTAGAAAAAATCCTGAGAGCAAATGTTTAATAACTTCATGTATGAGAATTTTAGTTTTTTCATTAAGTTTCAGCTTCAGCTTTTCACCTCACCATGTTCAAACACTCCATGCAGGGGATCTGAAAGTCATACTGCACACCGCTGTAGGCGTCTGTGATCAAAGTCTCAAACACCTCGTGGACAAGGAAGATCATATTCTCGGGACGGAATCCTTGGGCCTTCACCAGAACTTTTCCAGAACTGAGAAAAAAAGATCATGTGAAAAGAAAAAGAAAAAATGAAAGAATCGTAATTGTAATTATTTACATCAAAATGAAATTACAAAAAATTTTATCTAATAATAGGTCAGTTTATCTGACTAGTCATCCTAACCACCATTTAAAGAGTCAAAAAGGCAATTACAGTCTCCTAATGTCTTCACATATGAACCTTTTATCAGTAAGCTATAAGTGACCAGTCTTCCTACGGGTTTTAAAACAAACTTATTGATACAAATTGACAGGTCATCCTGCAGTCTCCTTATGAACTATAATAAAAATTTCTTTCGAACTTCGAAGTTCTACAGTTTTACCAAAATCTTCAAAGTAAAATGGACGTCTTTTTCTCAAAGAATTTCATTTTTGTGTTTTTTAGTTTTTCTATAATTTCAATCCATCCTCAGAAAAAAAAATGAAAAAACCCTAAAAAATAATCAGATTTACAGTAAACGTGATGACTTACGAATCCTGAAGGACCACAGCAATATGGTTGTTCTTCTTCAGAAACATGCCTTTCTTCCAGAGGATTCCTTTCTCAGCAAACTGATGCAGTCTCACCTTTGGTTAATTACAATCTGGTTAATAAGTCTATAACCACATACTAACTGGCTTACCAGGTTAGAATCCCATAATATTTTATACTAATTTTAGACATAGGAGGGTGACTTCTGATATTTTGTTTTCATTTTAAAACATGAACGGTGACACTCCACATTTCATCTTGAATTAGGATACACAAGTTCATTAATACCAAATCACAATGACCTTTATTTCTGTTTAGTCCAATAGAAAGAGTAGAATAGAAAATATTGTTATGGGCATATCTTCAATTATATTTTTCTAGGTTTGAAATCTGAAACATGTCGTTGTTTCCTCCATAACAAAATCAATCAAATTAGCAATAACGATGATCTGAAAATTTTGTTCCTTTTAGGGTTTTGCCTCGTGAACAATGTGGGTCAAGTATAATAAAGTAAACCAGAGGTCAGCGACAGACTGTTGGAATATTTCCACCAATCAGAAAGCTAGGATTGGTAGTAAGAGCTAGTTCCAAAGGCTGTGACTATAGGCTTATACCATAACTGTGATATGTTTGAAATTTGAAATTTTGAAATTTTTTCCATTTATGTTTTAAGTCTCTCTCAGGTTTAAATACTGTATAATTGTTAATTTTTGTTTGAAATTCATTTTGCTTAATTCAAATGTCTACAATTAAAAAGAAAAATTAAATATTGGACATGAGATATTAGCATTAGCAGATCCAGAAATAAATATTTATCCACCAAATCAGATACCCTATGGAATAATGGAAAGGTTAATTGATATATTGAAAAAAACAAAGATTGAATCCAATGAAAATATATGATTTCACATATGATATTTCAATATTTTCACAAAGTTCAATAGTTTTTTTTTTTTTTTTTTTTTTCAATTCTGATCAAAGCAGAGTTAAGAGAATGGATGAATTTGATTATAATGTTGAATTTGATAATATTTTTATCTGCTATCAGTATACAATATAGAGATTATATAAATCCAATCAGCAACGCAATTCTTACCTGGGCTCTGTTGAAAAGACCAGCTGGCAGATATTCAAAACTATAAATCATTTTGCCTTCCTGGATACCAGAACCATCTTCAATCGCAGGCCAATTGTACTGAAATTATAGTAAGATGAAAATAAGAATTTTTTTCAAAGATTTTTCAAAATTACTGTAAATTCCTTTATTTTTGAGAGAGTTTTATTTTCGCTGACTCCATACATAATCTTAATCCCCAATTCATCTGTCCATGAAATTTATAGTTCAGATGGATTTAGACAGTACTGTAACAGTTTATTAAAGAAATCAAATCCAATAAACTAATATTATTATTTTTTTTAAAAATCATAAAATTTGAGTCCCACAAAAATATGTAATTTCACAGTTTCTATTTTTTTTATCTAAAAACAATCATAATGAAATATTTTCGTTCCGTGAAACTTCATTTTTTTTAAATTTGAATCAAAAAACCTTTTGTTCTGTGTTTGGCAGTAAACAGGGAACAAGGTTGGCTGGCTCGTCTACAAGAGGAAATGTCAGGTCAAACTCCTCTGTAAGTCGCAGTAGCCAGGGGTGGAACTCTTTTGGGTATGCCTTCCACACTTCCGCCATGTCTTTGTGATATAGTTTTCCTTCCTGAAACGAGCAAGATAATTAAATAATAGTTATATACTCTGTTCGTCTAAGAAATTTAAACCTCAAATATGGACTCAATTAAAGACTTTAAATTAGTCCCTACATTAGAACTGTCATCAGAGGTCCAATGACCTTTGACCTTTAACTTTGATAAATGACCATCTTATTCTTTAAGGTGTAAAACACAATACTTGAATAATATTGGGTAACCATAAACTAAATCAAGATGGACGGACATAGGTAAGAAAATAGCTGCACCACTCCTCCTATAAAATGGGTTTATAAGAAAATATTCTAAACATTCCAGGATCAGTTTTACATGGATTTGATTTCAGCAGGTCAAACATACTTGTGTGGGTCCTGCGTGGACAGTCACAATACACGCCATGACATCGACAATCCATTGTGGATAAATGACGACATGGCCACGTAGAAACTCAGTGTTGAAGAACTGAAGTGAGCCGAGGTCATGAAGGAACTGCACAGCTTGAACAAGCTACAAAAACAAAAATCAGGAATCAGGTTTTAAAAATCATAAGAAAAACTCAATTAAAATAACATATTAAAAAAATGTAATCTAAAGACGAAATTTGAAAAAAACAATTATGAAACTTTTTAACTTTCCCTACCTCCTGGCCATCCACAATACCACACATCGAAGCTATTTCCTCTACTTCTTTCCATTTGATCAAATCCAGTTTTTCTTCATTCCTTTTTCTACAAACAATAAAGTTTTATGTTATACTGGCTAAAAGTATTTGAAAATATCAGAAGATTTTCCCAATATAACATGAGACAAAAGTCATCTCATATTATGATCAAGTAACTTGATGTTTACTAGATGCATGTGCTGTGAGGCAAATATGAATAAAATATTTTAAATAGCTCTCAAGATACAACATTGATTTGGAATAGAATGGGATGTGATGTTATTGGATGGAATGGCTGGAAATGAACCATGCTATATGCTCCCATGTAATGGTAGGAGCAGTAATATCAAAGAAATTCATTTTCAAGAAATCCTTAATTGATAAAAATCACTTAAAGTCATGAGTTAGCAAAGTCAGGATTCAAGAGATACACATACATGTTACAAGCAGATAATTCAGTCAAGTGTACAATAATGTAGGTTTCAATGTGAAGAAAAGAATTCCTAGGTAAGTTGTGTGTCAGATAATGTAGGTTTCAAATTAAACATAAATGACACAATCCTGTGTACATTACATGTAGAGAAAATGTAAGTTTCAAATTAAATGTCAATTACATAGTTCTGTGTAAGTTACATATCAGAAAATGTAGGTTTCAAATTAACTGTCAATTACATAGTTCTGTGTAAGTTACATATCAGAAAATGTAGGTTTTAAATTAACTGTCAATTACATAGCTCTGTGTAAGTTACATGTCAGAAAATGTAGGTTTCAAATTAACTGTCAATTACATAATTCTGTGAAAGTTACATGTCAGAAAATGTAGTTTTCAAATTAAATGTAAATTACTTAGTCCTGAATAAGCCAGGTGAGAGAAAATTCAGTATTCAGCATATATTACAGGATTAAGTATGTATCAATAGTTATTTAAATACCAGTAAGTTTAACTACAACAATTAATTTTTTCTAAATACTGGAAAATTTTTATCACTTTGAGGTGACTTCCATAATGGTGAATATTGAACAAACTACAAATCATAAATCCCCTATTACAATGTACCATTTTTCCAGCATGCATCAGACTGAATATACATACTGGATCACTCTTTCCTCCAATGTGAGCCATGCCTCTGGAATCCTTTCACCCATATACTTTTGTTGTAGAGTCAAGTTTACCAGAAATTCCTTCAAAGCAGCAATACCCTGAAACCAATGACAAAATGATTAATATAAGGAAATCTGATCAAAAAAATCATCATATACTCTGGTACAGTTGTTTTACTACATAAGTTAATATTCTTTTTAAACTTTATTAATGTAGGAAATATTTAGTACATGAAAAAACAAGATATTACCAGTATATCAATTGTAATAGTTGGAACTACAGTTACTGTAACAGGCAGTTCATATACATATATATATGTACTGCCTGTTACAGGAGTCAAATATAGGCCCTCTTTGTAAAAGATAAGTATATATATATTTTACAAAGAGGGCCTATATCTGACTCCTTAAAGAGTTCCTAACATGCATAGTGGTAATCAATAACAAACTTTTGTAAGATTTTTTTTTTATATCAATACACACAGAAACAATTGATCTCCCATTGAAATATCTCCCTATTTATATACAACTAAAATAAGCAGTTAACCTGTTAAAAGTAGGAGAGTCACAATTTATCTCCCTTTGAATTATCCGCCTTGTCTTCCTTTATTTATTTTAAGAGCAGTAAAAAGTGTAAGAGCAATGATTTATCTCCCTTTGAATTATCTCCCTTCCTATCTTTTCATATTGTTTTTCTTACCTCTCCAGTGTAAGAGCTGACAAAGAAGAAGTCAGCAATCTGAGGATATTTCCGTTTCAGTTCATCTTGTGGAATCTTGGATTTTTCAACCTTTGAAATTTGATAAGATTAAAAAATGAAAAAAACAAAAAATTACCATAAGATATTTATCCCTCTAAAGCCCAAAAGGCCAACATTTCACTAGTTTCTTAAAGTCAACAGGTGAAATCATTACAGTAAAATGAACAACATCTGTGAATGAATGTATTGATTAAAATAAAGCATTAAATATGTTTGAGATGATAGTCAAGCATTTGTATATTGGTCAACTTTATATGAACTTTTATATCCCAGAAATAATTATTGGAATAATACCATTATGATGTAATTTACATATTTTTCAATGAATACATATTAATTAAAAAGAAGAATTCACCTTGTCACAGTGTGTTCCTACAATGATAATGGGAGCCTTAGGAGCGTGGCACACTACTGAGTTGAGCCAGAAATCCAATCCTGCATGCTCATATCCAAGTCGGATGTTCCACAGGAGTAGATACACTGCTCGGTTTGACAGGAAAAACTGTATTAAAAAAACACGGCATGGTTAGATGAGCACCCAAAGCAAAGTCAACTGTTAACACTGGCAGTTACAAACATTTCTTCATTTAGCTGTACTTTAGCCCCTCCTACCAGTTACTAGCTGTTTCTTAAACATTCTATAACAGTTCAACAACAAAAACCACTGCTTCTTAGCATTCACAAAACTGCTTGTGAATGCTTGAAGCCTGATAGAAGGACTGCTTACAAAAATTCAAAAACTGCAAAGAAATGACTTGAAAGTTTACCAGCAGTCTTTAGCCTTCAACTGGTACAAAATTTTCAGCACACATGTTTTCTGTGCAATAAAAGTAGAGTTTGGGATGTTATTGCTAGCTGGTTTAAAGTGTATCAGTATTAGGCAGATTTAAGGTTAATTGTGACATCTAAGATGATTCTATAACATTTACATGTGTGCCCATGAAATGAAGAAAGGGGAAATAACTGTTCTTTCTTTCGCACGGTTTTTAAAAAGAAATTTCACGGAAATGTCATTCTCCTGACACAAATTATTTTGAGCCCACCAACATTATTAATATCTAAATATAGATCTTACCTGGTGAGTGTTATAATAGACAGTTTGCCCTGCAAAGTCCCACACATTGAATGTCACCGACTCGTCCTTGTTTTTTGTCTTCACTGTCCAATCTGTTATGCTGATGCCATCCGTGATTTGTTCTCCGTAGTCGTGATAATACACTGCCCGAGAGGCAGTCAAGGACCGTACGAGACTGGAGGAAAAAATAAAATAAAAATTTCATAAACAAATAACATGATGCCAATTGGAACTGAAATACTGTATATAAAACAACCACGAAAAATAAAACCCCTAAAATCTATCTCCAGTCTCAAGCAAAAATTTCATGAAAAATCAACATTATCAAAACAATACACTCAACAAGACATAATTAATGTTAATATCTTAAGTATAGTATAGTAATCCTGTCTGGATGGCATTCATGTTGATTTGATTACCACAATATCATAGTCTTGAAGAATCCTGGTTATTAATAGCTCACCATTTGCAAATTTAAAGTCATATATTTTTGTATCATTTTCATGAAATAAGGTATTCAAGTATATGACTGAACAATTTGACAAAATAAACTATTTGCAAAATCAAAGTGATTAACAGTATGTTTACCTAGTTTTTCCTGCACCACCAAGCCCCACCATCATCAGCTTGGTACGTCTACATTGGACAGAACCAGACAAAAGACGTTTTAGGTATCCAAACACAGCATTGAAGCCCCGAGCCACCACCTCTTTCGGAGGAGTCTTCAGAGTTGGACAGTATTTGAGGTTGATTTCTGTAAATTAGATAACAAGACGACCAAGGACCTTAATAATCATCTGATTTACATTGTTGTTGTTCCTGTAACATGCCTTAGAAATATTCTTGTTAATAAAGTAGAATAATTTGAACTACATTGTACATGAAATGCAGATGTAAAATGTGCATAACATTAACTGCCATGCAATGCTATAGGTCTAACCATATTGGATTTAGAAGAAATGACGCTTGGAAACATAATTTTCCTACATAAACTTTTTCATTCATCAGGAGTTTTTAATAGATTCGCTCATATCTAGGTATGTATACTGAGAAGGTTTTTGAAATTTTAATTGAATATGGCCGCTTTTGGCACACCCATCTGCCCCTGGGAATTAGCCAGTATCAATATGTGTATATCAAATTGTTGTCCTATACTAAAATTTCTAACCAAGTTATATTTATTTCCAACAGAAAATTAACAAAGAGCACTCACAATGTTATTTTCTTATATAAACTAAAGTAAATTTGCCCCCTCCCCAAGGAGAAATGCGAGACCCTGGGGTCATGAAATATACACCTTAAATCCCTCCCATCCAGGAAGAGTACTTGCTTAACCAAACATGAATATTGAAAAGAACATCTTGAAATTTCAACAGTAGGACCCATTATTGGCCATGCCTAGCCCTCAGGCCCCTGTTGGGTGGAGACCACACACTTTTGATTTACCTTAAGCCACAGAATCAAAGTTTCTCCAAAATCCAATGAAATTGGTTCAGGGGTTTTCAAAAGAAGTTGACAAGACCAAAAGGGATCACAATAAGTCACCTTATAATTGTCTCAAGTGAACTAAAAAGTTTTCTGGTCTTTTTCATTCTTCAGAAAAAGGGTTTCTAAATATAAATGACTAAGTATTTACCAACTATTCTATTCATTCAAATCCTCTATCCCCTGACTTTATTTTACAGTGTTTTTGCCATTATGCATTAATTACCAGGTGGTGAAATAAACCTCCAGGAATGTGTAGTTGAATTCTTTGATATATAAAACTTATATACCCAAAACAAAAATAATCTTCAAAGGGATCACAAAATAAACACCATTTACAAAAGTTTTGGGTAAATGTGAGCCCAAAAGCCAAAAAAGGACAGACCCCCCCTGACCACTTGGAACACTGACCAGTTTCCATTGCTGATTTCAAGCATTAAGAAGCTGTGGCACTAAATAAACAAATATAAATTTTTTTTTTTTTTTTTTTAAAATAATATAATCACTTGGGAATGTTTAGGAATTTCAAAATCTACTTCATCATATTAAAATCAAAGGAGCTCGGAAATATCAGGAAAATCAAGTTTATTTCAAAAAGAAGCAAAAGACTTATAACTGATGTGAAATATCACCTTTCATAGGTAGTTCTCCCACACGGCTGCTGATGCTTTCTAAGTAAGGGTTGTTGGACACATCCAGACTGGTCAGTGCTTTCAAGTCCTCTATCTCATCCGGAATCTGTTTCAGGCCGTGGAAAGATAACTCCAATCTCTCCAGGCTGGTTAACTTGAAAATGACGCCTGGAACTCCTCCAGCTGTGATTTAATACAATTTAAGACCATATATTGAATTTATTACAAATAAATGAACAGCTATAAGTGGTCTTGTGGGTTTTCCCTGGGTATTCCTCCAACAGAAAGACTCGTCATGATCATACACTTTCATCCATGCCAACAAGAGAGACATTACAACATTTTATAAGATTTTTAAAAACTTGTACAATCTAAAAAAAAGAAATTATTTCTACATTATATAACCAACTTTACGGACAGAGAGAAAAACTTTTGTCACCCACAGGTTTCAGCTGTAGGGGATTTAAAGCAAGTGTAACCTGGTAATCTAAAATTAAATAACTGATACTATTACCAAGATATGATGTAATTGTCATTAATGTGTGTTTAACATTCATGGATAAAGGAAACATTTTTAATATTTGACAGATGCTTCATATTCTGAAAGAGCTAAGCTGACATTACTGCAACATTCTGACATCTGGAAAAATTTTTTTTAAAAAACCAGGAAACTGGTATAACATCACACATATATATAAATTTGTATGTGTGTCAAATACAAGTTGTTAAAGGGCCATAACTCTGTATATAAATCAAGACATAATTTAAGTTTGTAACATTCCTTGGTGCAATGTAAGTGTACACAACACATGATATAGACTTACTTGCAGTATAAGCTAGATCCTTGATTCCAAACCTTGGATACATGCCAAACAAGAGAGTATTCATTTCCAGCAGTTCTTCCTTCTCCAGTGTCCCAGATGCATCTTTGTCAACTTTATTGAACAACTCAAACTTTTCCTAAAATTGAAAAAAGTATTCTGAAGTGTGCTCAGTACAAATAGAAAAATGTATAGGGATAAGTATTTGATCACAGGTATTACACAGGTGATGACATAACACAGCAAAACAAAAATTGTCGACAAAAAAAACAAAACAAAAAACAAACAAACAAAAAAACAAAAAAAACCAAACAAACAAAAACAAAAATTATACGGAATATATATTTTCAACTTACTTTTTCATCCAAAAGGACACCAAACACAGTATACTGGTTCAGAATGGTCTTGAATGTTTTAAATGTTGGTCGAGATTTTCCCGACACAAGATCTGGAAACCAGGGAACTCCGGAAAGGTTTAGGTAAGTCAACGCTAGCTGGCCAAAGGATTCAGGAATAGTCGAAATCAGATTGGACGCCAAGGAGAGTTCTGTTAACTGCTTCATATTGACAATGGGTTCAAGGTCTCCGATTTTCCCAATGTTGTCGGCGTGGAGAGATTTGAGGGAGACAAGAGACCATACCACTTTGGGAATTTCCTTGAATGGATTATCTGAAATGTCCAGGAAAGTCAAAACATCTTTGAGAGTTGACAGATCACCTGGAAGCTCTGAAATTTTATTTTTACTTATGTTGAGATGGGACAACCATACTGTGCTACCAAAACCATTGGGTAGCCTTTGAAGCTGATTTTCACTCAAATCTAACTCCTCTAGTTTGACGAATTTCCCGAGAAAGTTATCTGAGAGTTCTTTGAGTCCATTCTTTCTGAAGTCAAGTTTCTGTAGGAATTGGTACATCATCTGGAACCTGTCCAAGCCGATCGTCTTCATATCTTGTCCAGCTGAGAGAGCCATGCTGTGTGCTAAACAGCTGTTGATACCCGTTGTTTTGAGGCCGTGTGACAGGTCGAACACTTTATTAAGCTCTGAACAAGCTTCCTTGTCTCCCTGAATATGGGTGAGTATTGTCTGCGAAAAATCATAACAAGTCCAATATAGAATACTATAACATACATTGTAATAAAAAGTTGAACAGAATGAAAATCATGAATTATTTTATACAAAATTGTGATGCAATAATGAGCAAATAAAATTGGCCTTAATGTTTAGTATGTGTTATGATTTTTCATATGTTTTACAGTGCCATGTATAAAAAGTACCTCTTATATCCCATCATCGTTGTCTCCAGTTAGAGAGTGAAGATCAAACTAACAATATACAGTTCTATCAATGGAAACCCTCAATAATATGAATTTATTTCTTTTTGTTTTAGAGATCATGAAAAAAAAAATAAAAAGCTTATATATATATGTACTGACCTGTTTGGTCAGTTGGCATTAGTATATGAATGAGAGAGGTCAGTCTGGAGCTTATGATCAGTATGACTTACCATGTGGATGTCCACAGTCATTCCCTGTTCTTTGTTAAGATGTTCAATTTGGCTGAGCCACAACAGATAGAGATAAAAAACACGACGCAGTCTTGTCTCCATAATGTCAATCTGTGAACACAAATTATCATCAAACCATTTAATATTCTGAGCAAGTCTATACATGCAGTTCTTCAGAACATGCAGCTGGTGCTAAAACAACTGATCTAATCCTTCCCCTTAATGTACATCTATTTGTTGAACTCTGAATAACTGTAACATTTCCAGAATAGTTATAATCAGAATATAGCTATCAAAGCTAAACAGCAATTGAATTTAAGAAAAAGCAAGAATGAAACAAATGATACAAAAAAAGCTAAAGCAGGAATGTTTATGATATATGACTGTATACTAGATGTTATTAATTGAGTTAGATTTGCAAGGTGTAAGTTTTGTAAAAAATCTTCATATTTTATTGCAATTATTTGGTATTTATTTATTTTTTTTATTTTGGGTTCTAGAAAAATAGTTCAAATGCCTGACATGATATTCAAACAATATCAACTCATTTGTTTCATATATTATCTACAATAAATTTTTTTTTAATTATCATTATTATATATTATGAGTAAGAGATATTTATTTAAACATTTATATTATACAAGCCTATAAAACAGTTTTAAAATGAACAGAAAACAGATCTTTTATCATCAAGAGATTTTGTTTTTGTTATAAAGGAGGTAGTATTGGGGGTTGAGGGGGAGATTCATGTCATGATTCTGGTATACATGGGTACTTACCGCCTCTGGTGTAAGAGCTCCTGTAATCCCTTTGATTATGTTCATGGGAGGGTTGGGTAAAATATCCTTCAAAATAAAACAGAAAAACATCTTTTTATACTTCATTAAAACAGGAACTAGTAAATAATAGTAAAATCACTCATATCTGTATCATTGTAGTGAAGAACTTTTAAAGATATAGTAACTGTAACCTATATTTAGCTCAAATCACAAAATCATTTGAGATGTACTCATAGTGTTGTTTGACTTTTTTTGTAAAAGTGTGATAAAATTTCTCTTGAGAAATATATATAGTACTGTTGCTTGATTGGTTATTGATTTTCAATAAATTATCATTGTAATTCAAAACGGTGACCTTGACCTTGAAACTCTTCTACATGACCTCTTTGGAGGTTAATTATCATTGTCGAACCTGAACATTGTGTAAAATTCTAGAATCAAAGTTTGTTTATTCTATATTGATAAATGAAGTCACACTATAGCGATGTCGGGTAGTTCAAACACATGATTTTTTAAAATTAAAAACAAAAATATTCTTTCTGGTGATAATACAAACTCTTTCTATCTTTCTATTCGTGTTTCACTTACAATGGAAATTATTTTAACACATTGTCCAAATGTACAAATGCCTGACTATTTACAAGGGTATTGTCATCACTATAGCAGGTCCATGTCTACATGATGATAGCTCAAACTTGCAAGCATAATTTTGTATGATTCGAACAGGTTCAATAATTGTACTTATTTAATTTTGGACTGGAGACATACTGTACCTTCTGTATGAGGAGTCCAATGTAACAATTAGCTAGATAGGAGACCATTTGGTTTAACTGGGTGTCCTTGTTGTGCTTGGTTAGGCTTAGCCCTGGGTGATCAACAAAGTGAAGCAGCTCCATTCCTGAAAAATCAGGTTTCCTTGTACATTTCTTATGGTACAAAACCACAATATATTGCTTCAATACACAGATATTAGAGTGCGAAAATATGAAATTTTCAAAATATTTGTCAAATGAATGAAATTTTAAAAAACTGTGTGGGGAACAAGAAGCAATATCTGCAATTATTATGAGCTTTCATGTTCACATATGTATGCAGGGCTATCGTTGTTTGACCTTACACACTGTGACTATACTGACTCATGATCATTAACTCCTAAAAGTATTGGTTACACACTTTGAACATTAATGTTCACCTGTCATTGAGATCTATAAAAGCTGTCGTTTTTGTTGATGAAATATGTAATAAAGAATTACCATAAGGACATGATAAGTTTAATGCATGAAATAGGCATAAGATGAATGTTTCATTCAAAGTTAATAATTCTGACCAAATTTGATTTCTTTCCAATGCAAATATAACAATTATGCATAAAAATGTCACTTTCTTCACAATACACATTACGTTAATAGTAAACTTTATTTTCTCTTCTTGGAAAAATTAATAGAGCCTGGGATTGTAGAACATACCACTTGGCAAGCCTTTTGAGATTCTTGGTTAATTACCAAGTTTGATGTATTTCCATTGACAATCAAGTTATACTTAAAAGTGGTATTTTTCTGAATCAAATAGTAAATTCCTTCCCCTCCCTTTGGGAAAAAGTGAGACCCTGACGTCAAGAAAAATTCAGTTTTTAGTTACACATCTTAGACCTTTCCATGAAGAGTATTGGAAACTACCCTCTCTGTATGGTGAAAAGATTTTTGAAAAGTTAGTCAATCTGATCTCTTCTGGCCCCAGCTCCTGGGAGTTAGATGAGGTCAATAGGTGCATTCATGTTCTATCAAACTGCTATCCTATACAAATTATTCTAAGTTTGGAATGGAAATTAAACAATTATGCTGAAAAATGTAAATTTACCAGGCACATAAACTATCAACTAATTAAACTTTACCTCCCCCCCCCCACTCCTCCCTTGGGGGTTATGTAAGACCCTATGGTCATGAAATCTACAATGGTAAAGCATCTTAAGATTCTTATATTCCTGAAGAATATTTGATTCTACAATATCTGGGTTGTGAGAAGAAGATTTTTGAAATGTTAATCAGTTCGATCCCTTTTGGCTCCTCCCACCAGTCCCTGGAGGTCAGCCAAGATGGCAATTTGCATACCATGAAACTAATCCCATACTAATAAAGTATGAGTTATTTCCGAATGGAAATTAGATCAACTATGTTCCAAAGTAACATTCTCTGACAAAAGCTATTAGATTAGAACAGGTCACCTGAGAGAAAGCCTTAAAAACTTTCAAATTTCACCGTATACATTATAATTAGAAATTTAAACCAAAGAAAATTACAGATTTCTTTATCAAGCAGTTTCTAAACAAGGCAAGTGTATACGGTTAGTTAAATTCAAGGTACATGGTTAATTTCCCCTCCTGGTTGACACTTGAATTTCCTCATCAACTTACTGTTAATGTCACATTTCAGTTAATATCATAATTTCCTCTGACAAATGAGCCATGATATTAAGCAGTATAAACAGTATAAATCACTTTTTTTCTGTTAGTTTTTCACTTTTCACTACTTACTGTTGCCAGGACACAGAAGATGGATCATTTGGTCTGCCTGGTTGATAATCTGCTGTAATGAAGGATACTTCAACATGTCCTCACTGAGACTAGCAGGCAACAGGCAGAAAAACTTGAATTTGTTGTTGAAGAAGTCAACCACAGCAGGTGTTAATGTACATTTCTTCATAGCAACAAACTCCAAGCCTGTTATGTGAAAAAAAAATTCTGAAATCTGCATATCCAAACATTTTCTGATGAGTACATGTATCTTTAAATCATGTCAGTTGAAAAATTATTTGCATTTTTACTCTTATTTTCATAACTATATCAATCAAGTAGTGGACTCCTTACATAGAGTCTACTAATATATATAATAGCAAATATATCAAATATTTTCAATAAATAAACTGAGCAGCAATTTTTTCTTTACATACTTTTGACAATAATCACAATTCTAACAAAAAAAATCACCAAATGTTTCTTGTATATTGACATCAAGCAACAGTTTTCTGCATAAAGCATCGTTTTCTGTTTGCCTATGGTTGACAGCCTTAAAACATTGTCATTTAAAGAGCATATATAAAGACACTTCCTTTTTGCATATGTCTCACAGTTATTTAGAAAAAGAAAAAGTATGTGACATCACTTCCTGTTTGCATACTTACGTCTCACAGTGTCATAGAAAAAAGTATGTGACATCACTTTCTGTTTGCATACTTACATCCCACAGTGTCATGGGAAAAAGTATGTGACATCACTTCCTGTTTGCATACTTATGACTCACAGTGTCATGGAAAAAAGTATGTGACATCACTTCCTGTTTGCATACTTACATCTCACAGTGTCATGGAAAAGATTATGTGACATCACTTCCTGTTTGCATACTTACGTCTCACAGTGTCATGGAAAAAAGTATGTGACATCACTTCCTGTTTGCATACTTACATCTCACAGTGTCATGGAAAAGATTATGTGACATCACTTCCTGTTTGCATACTTATGTCTCATAGTGTCATGGAAAAAATTATGTGATATCACTTCCTTTTTGCATACTTACGTCTCACAGTGTCTTTGGAAGAAGAACATGACATCACTTGCTGGTTGCTAACATCAGAGGCGTAACCAAGCTTCTGCAGGACTTCATTCTCGAGATCAGGCTGTGTTCCCTCACACTGAGCCTTTAAAAGCACAACAGAAATCAAGAAACCAGAAATGATTCCTAATCTTTATATTTAGCCTGAAAATGAGCTATTACATCCTCTTTCTCTATAAGTGGGCTAATTTATTGTCACATGGCAACACAAAAATATGTAACAGCTATGCTTAATGCTTCAAAGATCTGATGTCTGAGTCTGGATGGTTACCTCCCTGTAGAAAATACATATTTTCCCTTAAAGTTTATTTCTATAAACTAAAACAGTTTCAACAAAGGTTAATTTCCTTTTATTTATAGAAGCATCAAAGCAGTTGAATCATCTCTGAAGAACAGAAAACTGAGCTCTATCACCTTCTTTCAGAAGCTTATAACACAGGAAACTTCTACGACCAGTGATGCCCACTTAAAATAATTTCTAACATCTATAGGTATACATATTGATACAGTTGTACATATAATTACCACGTCATAGTTCATTTACCTCATTAAAGAATTCATATGGAATAGGAAGTTGTTCGATTTCCTGGAGATAGTCATACCAATCAAATTCCTGGGGCCTACCTATGTAAACAAACAAACAAAAACAAGGTGTGAACATTGAATATAGTCAGAAGAATTTAAAATTCAGAATAAACAAAAGTATCAGGGTAAATGATGAATGCTTCCTGCAAATCACCTAATTATCCAGAATATGGATTTTGTCAGATTAATGACATGTGTCTATAAAATATATTAAAATGGAGAGATTGAATGAGGAAAGAATAATGTTTGTACATATTACAAACGTGTTTTTGTGTCCGACACATACTCATGCTTGAGCTACAAAAGCAAGGGCATATTTTAATCTGCTATTTAGTGTAAATGTCAGTGGTAACACTGTTTTTTTATTTCTAATACTAGTAAGAGAGTTTATGAATATTTTCTATACTGTAAATCAAACAATATACTGAGATTTGAAAACTCTATTCACAAATGCACTTACTTATATGATACACTGAAAGTTTTATCAGCATTAATTCAAGATATAGTTATGCTCAGGACAAAAAAAAATTAACAAAGAGCAATAACTATTAAAATTACAAGATGTGGGCCCTGACTTTGGCAGACTGCACTGTATCTTAGTATGAACAATGTGTATATCAAATTCCATGTCCTAGTTTAAATTTAAATAAAATTATGCTTCTGGCATGAACTTTTAACCAAGGGCAATAACTCTGTAAATAAGGGGTTGTGAGCCTTGAATCTTATACTGCATGCACATCATCTAATTGTAACTGCTGTACTAAAAGTTTCATGATTCTTGCTTAACTGTTGGCAAAGCTATACTTCAGACACATCACATGGAACGGCTGACAAACAAACAAAATGCCAAGTCAAAAATTTTCTGAAAGCATAAAAGATTTGAAATCCAAATTGGAGAATTCCAGAATCAACACCTATATGCACTTGATTTCATTACTTATGCTCACCCACCTTTGGGTCTCTGCAGTTCAGGTGTGTAGTTATGGTTGGTTGAATGAGCGTTTAAAGCCATGTAGCCAATAGGGTGGAGATCTTTGGACTCTGGCTCACTCCAGTAGTCATATCTCTTTGTCCAACCATCAAAGTGTATCAACAGACGACCATCTGTTTCATTAATCTGTGCTACAAAATATAAAATATACACATAGTTTTCAAAACAGGATAAAAAAATAGATACTTGTAATTATCTAATAAATTTACTGTTTTATGATAAACGTAAAAAAAAAAAAATTTTAAAAGTTGTAATAGCATGGTGCACATACATTTTTATGTGATTTAAACATTTATAGTTTAAACCTAAAAACTTCAAAATCTGTGAATAACAGTCTTGTACTATACACAATTCTTTTGTCTGATTTTTTTTTTTTATTTATTTATCATTGGTTTGCCAATCATTAATAGTCATTTTTTACAACAAAAAGTATCTTTAAATTATCTACCTTTATAAGGGAAAAACTATGGATAGTGATATTCACCAAGGCTGCAGGATGTGAGAAAAATCACCTTTTGAACGTCAATAAATCCTCATATTATCACAAAATGGCTGATAACTACAGATTCTGTTATAATACATGGCCTTTAAAAAGTTCATATAAAATGAAAAATAGTTTATTCTTAGTCTGAGTTGTCAATTTGCGATGATAACCTGGCACCATGCACACTTCCTTTTACTATTAAATATTTTTAGTCTACATTATCAATTTCCAAAGATAACCTCCTGTGCAGGAATTTTGCAAGTTTCATGTTAACATTGTAATTTGTTGAGAGCTGTTGGAAACCTCGTGGCCAATCAGAGAAGAGGGATTTATTAGTTATCTAACTATGATATATGGTATGAAGCTGTGGCGTGTGGAAATGTCACCAGAACACTGACGTACGTTGATGAGACCACACCTAGAAGACAGAAAACCTGTCACCAACGAACCAGGTGGTGCAGGGTATACTTACAAACTGTTGCAACACAAACAAGTGAAGGGTTAAGACGGTCCAACGCCTCAAGTCGCATTCCTTCAACAACTGCAGTGGATTTTGAAGGCTGCAAGAATAGCACACAAGTCGTATAAATAGGAAATATGAACGCACTGGCTTTTAAAAATGGTAATTTGAGGTGAAAAATTTTGGAAAGGCCTCACATGAAAGAGTCAATGTCAAAGTAGACAGCGAATGACACTAAACACAAAGTACATTTTGTATATCACTTAATTAATAGACCAGACACTGGCAAGAGTCAATGCATCTTTATTCTGAGTAGGTTTACTCACATTTTTGAGTCAATTGTACTATTATTCAGAGTAGAAAGATTTGCATCCAGGAGACAATGCATCATTATTCCGAGTAGGTTTACTCACATTTTTGAGTCAATTGTACTATTATTCAGAGTAGAAAGATTTGCATCCAGGGGTCAATGTAGATTTGCAGGTTTACTCACATTTTTGAGTCAATTGGGCATCCAGGGGTCAATGTATCATTATTCCGAGTAGGTTTACTCACATTTTTGAGTCAATTGTACAATTATTCAGAGTAGAAAGACTTGCATCCAGGAGTCAATGTATACTTTTTTATATCATAGACAGAATCATCACAAGCTAGTACAGACTCACATCTAGGAGTCAAAGCATCCTTATTTGGATTAAATTGACTCACTACAGACAAAAGTCAATATATCAATATGTAGAATATTTATCTGATGAACTCATAGCAGTAATGAGTCAATTTATTGTACTTTGAAGGAGTCATTAGAATATGCATTTGACATATGTTGGCAAGACAACACTTAAAAATAGAAAACCTGTAACCCACCAACCAAGTACCGGTACTTTGGAGTTGATAGCTAGTGTCTGCAGAGAAAACTCAATGTAACTGTCTGGAGTAAATTGACTCACAACAAGCAAATTGACTCACAACAAGCAGGAGTTCAGTGTATCATTATTTGCAATAGATAGACTTAACATTTGGCATTGCGATTTTGAGTGGACAAACTCACCACAGGCAGGAGTCCATGCATCATCACTGTGGTTGTTGAATCTGCCATATGTTTTCCAGTAAGTCTCAGGTTTATTTTTCTTGCTATAATTCGGACTGATGCTACAAGCTGTTCCCCTATCAAGACACTTATAGAGTAGAAACACGTTCCTTCAAGAACAGATCCTGGAGTCAGTTGGAGGGTCAATGTATCCCCCATCTGAACAGATGGGAGGGTCGCCGCCACCTTTTTGTGGGAGGTATCCAAACTACCAGCACTCAGCTCTTTTGTCTTCAAATCTATGTTATGATATAGGTTGCCATCTCCTCCAGCTCTATTAGTAAGAAAACATCTATTATTTGGTTTCATTGTGAAATTGACCACAATGTACTTAATTATAGATGTATATTTGTGGTAGATGATCCATCTTAAACCCATTTTCAGAACCTTATTTTTCTTCTTTTTTTTTTGTATAGATTTTCAACTTTGCTTTATTTGCCATATAAGGCCTTGCCCCTCCTGTCCCCAGGAGCCAATTCCTACAATCTACACAAAACAATTCCCTTTAATCAAAAGATATTTCAGACCATATTTGGACACAAGTCAGTCATCCCTACAATAGGACATGTCCCAGAAGATCTAAAATTGAGTGCTCTTCCCCATCAAATGCTTCCAACCAAATTTGCTCAAAATCTGCAGTCATTCATGACTAATATCAATTTGTAGAAAAGTGGACATATGGACACTTTGTCCTGTTATTTGCTCACTTGGCCCATAGGACCATGTGAGGTAAATTAAAGTACTGAAATTACTAAGAGACTACACATGTTGATGATATATAATCCATCACATACACAACAACCAATGACTATCAATGGCTAAATTTGAAATTTTGGAATACATTTTCCATTAAATCAGTGAAATTTGTGCAAAATGTACAATTCATGAAAACATTTTCAAAATCAAGAGATTGCCACTTACAATGATAGGATGCATGAGGTGTACAATTGCTATGATGTGTGAGGTGTGCAAGGTTGTTTATCTGTATGTTTAAAATGCTTTGAAAAATAAAATAAAAAAAAAAAAAAAAAGGGGGGGGGGGATTGCCACTGGCATTGGTATTTGATATTGAACCCGGAACGACACTTTGCAAAAGTATTATAAATGGAATATTTAAATGACCACCAAGTCTGTTTTTAAAATAATAGTACATGATTATCTCATAGGGACATTATACATGAATGACAATGTTTTGAAGGCTGGCGGCATTGTTTACTGCATATGACTGGCTGATGAGGATGCTGGTAAATCATTGAAATATTTCACCCAATCAGAAGCTAGCATTGGTTTTAACTGCTAGTTCCAAAGGCTGTCACAATAAGCCGAAACCTAACTGTGTTATGTTAAGTCTAAAAATATAAAAAGAAAGACTGTTGTTGTAAAATCTTTATGTCCCTGTGTGAAGTCCCCAAAAGTTATTTGAGGACATAACACAGGACAGTAATGGTCACACTGTCAAAAGATATAATTTCAAAACTTTGCTTACAGTAAGAAAATGGAGATATTGGATGGTGACCCTTCAACAAAAGTCATCTTCCACAAGTTCTGTTCGTAAGGGTCCATGCCAAGTCTAAAGTTTACATCTGATGTTTCACTGCCAGGAAGAAAGCTGACACAGTTACCAGTGAGTCTGACTTTTGAGGAATCCTTTGGTAACACGACTTGATTCTCCATCAGAAAACTAGTGGTAACTTCTCTCTGTACTCTCTGTAAAAGTAAATATATTGCATTCCTTTCTGATTAAAAAAATATTTTAGATGGAAATGCAATTGTACTTTTTTTTTTAATGAGATTTAAATTTTATCAAAGTTTGTTGAAGAGCAAAATAATCACTTGATTTTTTGCATGAAGTTATCAGTTGCAAAGAAGAATTTAGAAAAATAGTTATGCCTGCCTTGTGCATTTAAATAAGCAAATATATTGTGATTACTTGATAGAAACTTGGAGAAACTAAGAAATGATTCATGTGACTAAACCAGATATATAAAAGCGCAGAATGCTTTTGAAAAGCATTTGTTCAGAAACCCCTGGAATTCTATATACAACATCCTATCAATCTTTCAAAGTTCAGAATGACAAATAAACTATTTTTAGGTCAGACATGCAGACCTGTTGACTCAATTGACGAAGAAATCTGAAATTCTTAACATTGTTCAGGTTGCTAAAAATTGAAATATAATTCAAACAATCCTGACATTCAAAATGCTTGACTGCAATTACGTGTAAATTACCTAAAAATATTAATAAATAACTTAACCAAAAACAACTTGGGAATTCACCAGTGAAAACCTACTCACTCACTTAAATCACACTTAAAACACTGTTTCCATTCAAATACAATACAGTTTTTAAATAATTGGAAATGAACAGTTTCAAACTGCCAGTTATTTTACAATTTTATTCTGAAGTAATTATTTTTAAATACCCATTTATGATTATACATATTATCGAAAGGTAGTAAGTTAAGTATGAAACACATGTCTGACATATGTTTGTACAGTCAATGTATAATCGTACATCTGTAAAATGCTTTACAGAAATTCAAGTTTGTTGCAAATCTGTTGCAAAACTGTTCTGTTTGCAAGAAGTTTACATGCTAGTTGCTAGCATTTTGTGACATTTTGGAAACTAATTTTTGTTTGCAACAACTTTGTAGCAATTTGCCACAAAGTTACAAGATGGGCTATTATTGTCAAGAAATTACTATACTTAGACCAGATTAATTTGCAGCGAATGTTCAGTTAATTTGGTTGAAATTTCATCTTGTTTACAAAATATCAGAAGCACACATCTATTCAAATCAAAGTGATTTTGTAATCGTACAATTTCCACAGGAGAGATTTCTAACATTAAGATATAATATATATGTAGCTCTGGTTAGAAGTGTTACTATACTAAATGTCTGTACATTTTATGTTAATAAAAAGCAACTACTTGTTTATTTACTTTACTTTTTTTTATTATTATTATTTTTTAATTCATGAAACTAAAACCAGAAAAGTTATTGTGAATGACTTGAATGAGTATTTTTTTATGATTTTCCATCTTTGCAGCTGCAAATTGCATTATGTACCATTATAAAAATCAAATCAACAAAAACATAACTAATATCATCCACACACTAATTAACATACTTAATATCAGTCTATATCTTATCTACTTAACTGAGGTCAATTGGAGTTTTACTACATATACTCAAGAGTTACTTACTTATCAAATAAATCAATTACTTAAAAAATTACTTATGCAGAGTAAAAGCATATTATTTACTTTAAGTAATTTCAAGTATGGTTTTATTTATTTATTCATTTTTTTGTGCAAGAAGCAATACTTCAAAGGATGAAACAAGACAGATAGGTCACAATATATTCCCCTCCCTTTCAAATGGAGGCGAATTAAAAAAGGGACCAAAATCAATCCTGGTAAACTACCATAGAGCAAATTTATGTGAGAAAAAGTCAGTTGCCTAAGGCATTAAAATTCATATTCCTCCAAAGTATAAGGCTGTTGAGTATTTTCATAGACATTTCATTGCTCTGTAATAAGTACACACCCTGACTTTGGAATCAGAAGAATGCATGGTCTTCACACTCTTACAGAACAAGACTAAAAGTATAAATATGTAAAAACAGGTTCAGTATTTACCGTTTGTAAGAGGTATTGGCTAACAGTGACACCACAATTTTCACATGTGAGAGATGGTAATGGCGCCGTTATTTTCTCTGCCTCTAATGTCATTGGAACAGGGATCTTGTGATTTGCGATACAGGCAAAGACGCTCTCTGTGGAAAAGAAATACATGAAACACAATGATAATATATGCACAAACAAAAGTCAATGATGGTAAAAGGAGAATGCACTCAGAACAATTAAGGGACATATTTTTAAAAAAAAAAAAGTATAAGGAGAAAAATGTTGTTCAAGTCACGTTAATCTGTTATTAAAGACACCTAGCTACTATGCTATTATGAGAAAATCCTATATATATCAATGTCATGTTCTCAAAGTAAGAACAGAGGTCACATTTAAGTACCTCATATAGACCAATGAAATTGCTTTACTACACATATTTATTCAATACATGACAGTAAAAAATAAATGTTATATTCTAAATTAAAAAAATATAGTTATTCTACTTTCAATAGTTCTGGGTGACATTTAGAGCAGAATTGAATTGTATTTTATAATGAAACTTATTTTTTTCACAAAATAGGATTTATTTTGTGGCTGTTAGTATCGTACTTTGTATATGACTTACGTGGTTTGGGATTGGTGCTTTTTTGTTCAATCTGAAAGGTACCAAGAAGCAAGCATAAACAATTACATATATTTTTTTTATATATATAATCATTGCTCTTCTCTACATTTAAATATAACAAAACAATTGTTTGTATTACCAACAAAACACAAAATGCCTTATAACAGATGTGTGACATTTCCTGTTATGAAGCTTACCAACAAAACACAAAATGCCTTATAACAGATGTGTGACATTTCCTGTTATGAAGCAATATTGACAAAATATTTCTCGGATAATTCCGAGTGTTATCCCATGATTGTTAAGGATAGAAAAAACTACACCAAGGTTAGGGAAAGACAGTAGGCATGTGCTGTAATGCATCCTTATATTAGGATAGCAACATCATTTTATGTAACAAAACCATGTCGCAAATTGTAAGTGTCATC